GATTGCCTCCTAGTTTTGTGGTACTGGTGTACTAACGCTACCGACGCTCCACACTAATATTGATTCCTTTGGCAGATGTCGTCGATAAGGAGTCTGGAAAGTAAGAAGGAGGACAATCGACGACTAACTCACTTCTATATATAGGTTGAAATGATATAGCTTGAAGTGATCAACAATCCTGGTGATTTTCGCGTTTTTGAGATCACTACCAACACTTCGCTTCTGCGTCGAGCTCTTCGGGCATCTGCCAAACTTGATGCTGAAACTAGATATCCATAAGGGCCTGGTCTGTAGGTAAAATAGAGCTGACTGATAGTCAGTAGAGATTCCAATACTGTAGAGCAGTACATAGAGTCAAGTGCCAGACACATCTATCGTTTCTGACATCCTAACAGGGGGACTGACCTCTTGACTTCATGATACCCTCCAAATCGTTGGGTCTTCTGGGCATCGGGATGCTACCACTCAACGCGCTTGTGTTCGCTTTTTAATTTCATGTGTAAAGAATGTGCCGTAGGTCAAGTAATTGCCATTCCAGATTTTCAAGTCCTCATCTCGAGTTGTGCCAGCCAGGAGATTAGTGGAAAGCGTGGAAACCATGTGCGCCTGACTGAGAACGTAGGGAAAGAAATGGGGTTTTGACGTCTAGACTCCTGCAGTATTCAACATCGAAGTAAGTGAGGAGGAGTTTAGTTGATATCTGAGCTGTTTGAACATGCGCGACGTCCTGAGAGAAGTCAAAGGTATGGTTATTAGGACTTCGGTCAGTACTCCGTTATTATGAAAACGAAAATGGATTGCGGCAAGTCGATTAGCAAAATTTGTGTGCAGCTGCGCATCTAGTACATTATTTTGGCAGCTTCATACTGCGGTTGTGATTCAAGTTTGGCGATCCCCGAAAATATCGTGTAGAATGACATTTTGGAAGTAGAAAGATAAGCCTTGTACTTGAGTATTGTATTCTTGGTCCTTTCGCTCACTCCACGGATCACCTTGAACATTCAGATGCTATGTTTGGCATTTCAAAGAGCGTTTTGTAGCGACATGATTTGAAGACTTGGAAAACAAATGTCACAACACGTTGCGTTTGATAGTATAGACCTACATTAACTCCTACCTTGCATTTGTGATTGAATCTCACTGAGCACATATCAGAAAACTCATGCGGTGCTTCAAATTGGACGAAATAAAACATCGTGTACTTATAATCTATCCTCGTAAAGTTGTAGGTAAGTCAGCACCATGTATCTCAAGACACAAGTAGAAAGCATTGCTATAAGTTAAGTTCATACCAGCACAACCCAAACACTAACCTAAACATCCAAAGATAATTGATTCCCCTCATCATTTCCTCATAGAAGTTTTCTCTTCTATCTTGATCATTCCTCTATCACAAATGTCTCATTTCCTGCCACCAACTCTGTCTTCTTTCATGATCTCATCCATCCTCAGTTATTCACTCCCACAAACCAAGACTCAAATTTACAAACCTGAACCCCTCATCCCTCATTGCGAACCCTTCCGGAGTTCAAAACCTAAAATATCTGGCTTTCCTATGTTATTAACTTTTCTCAACCCATCCGAAGTCATCCGAGGTTGACCCTTTACCCCTCCATGGAAAGTTCCCGAATGCTTTTTCTCAACAGTAAATTCATTGGGACTGTGAATATCATCTCATGTCCTATTGAGTGGCGGGCTGTGTCTTTGAAAGTTGCCTTGGTGATTCACCCAAAGAAGATTTTCTTTGAAGAAAACTCTGACATGGGTTTATAGGGTAAGGCCGAAGGCCGAGTGGTGAATAGTTGATGGATGAAAGATAAACAACAGGTCATTTGAGGCTGTATGAGCAAGTTTTTTGAGCTTGAGAAGAATTTGAGATTGAAGCGGCATGGAAGGGAATGTAAACTTGAACTTGAAATTGAGGTCATGGGCTGCGCTCAAGTTGTGAAAAATTCCGGTTGAAGATGACGCTAAGAATTTGTGATTACCTTGTTAGGCAATTAGGATTCCCAGTCTTAATTGAAAGATATAGATCTGAAGGCTACATGGAATATACTTATTTTGATTGAGAGTGGACCAGGAAATTAAAACACCATGTGCCTAGAATGAAAACATTTCGTGGGAGTACATCGAGGATAAAATAAATTTCGAGAATTAGTAACTCGAACAAAAACAGCTTTCCTCATGAATTAAATAATGATTAAAGAGATTGTAGAAACTCTTAAATATAAATTTAGATAATTTAGAGAAGCGTTTCCTCAATTTTCATCCAAAGCGAAAAATATATTCGAGTAGGAGAATTTAGTAAACTCAAGCAAAAGAGGTTCTATCTTTTACTTCACTTCAATACGACTCTAGAAATGCTGATTCGAAAAACACAAAAACTGTTTAAATAGCTATAGAATATGGGAAATGAAAAGAAGCTTATTTACAAGAGTTTTCTGATGAAAATTAAGAAGGAAAAATACTATATAAAGATATCAGCTTTTTAGCATAGCTCTACGTACACGTGAGAAGACTAAGCTTAATAAATACTTGATGTTACTCTATATATTATATGTATATCTTGCTCTTTATGAAGATAGATCGATAGTCATTTAACAGATCTTCTTAACTAAAAGCAAGAAAATTATTAGTTTAAGAAGAATATAGATAATATAATACCTGTAATAATAGATTCTAAATAGCAATATTGTGTTTTATTTCAAGAGGTAGCTGACAGTAAGAAGTAATTCTCAAATACCTAAGACTAGCTCTCTCATTTAGTATATTGTAGTAATCTAATGACTAAAGTTTTATCATCTATATTCATATCAAATACTCTTAAAATATACTAAGTTCTAGGATTCAAGTCTTTATAAATGAAATTAGAGTTTATATTATTTCTTATTTTATAAGTAGCCTTTATAGCTATATACTATATTTACTTATAGACTTAAATTGTGATTATATAAAGGAATGTACAGTGAATTTACTATCTAGAGTAATATTACACGAGAAATAAAGTTGAATGAAGGGGGTCTAGTTGAGAGATTTGAGGAAAACTTAGAATTAGTTTCTTTTTTATTCTATTCATTATAGAAAGTTCTTAAGAATATAAAAGTTGTAGAATTCAATCTTAATCTGTAACTTAGAGAAATAAAATTCCCAATTATTTGTATATAGCTGAATGAAAACTCGAAAATACTATCGCTTTCTAGAGATTTTAATGTAACATAGCTCAAAGCGATAGAATTATTTAGAGGAAAATTACATAGTTAATAATATTACTATTTTGAGATTCGATTTAAGTTTTGTCAGATCAAATCGAGTAGTCTAAAGGGATATTCGAGGTAAACCACAGGTGTTAAAGTAATTTAAAGATATATTTACGTTTTAATAACATTTATTCGATGACTTAAATCGTTTTTGAGACCCTTTCTAGCATTTCTCTTCATCCAAGCTCTATTACTCCAATCAAGAAAATAACAAGTGTTAATACCCTAATTAGATGGTTTTCAAGTCTGTTCAAGTCAAAATTGAATTTTTGAGGCAATTCAAACGTGAAAATGAGCCTCATCTTCAGTAATTGAGTACCCTGGAGGTGCATTTCAAGTAATATCATAGGCTATCAATCTTTCTACTTATCATTGAGCTATTCAAGGAATTATTCCAGTCGTAGAGGGAATTTGCGCGGTTTAGATAAGAGTTGGCGTCGATATTAGCCTCGGGACTCGGCTTAAGCAGCGAAAAACATTGTATCATACTAGATCTAAGCTTTATTACTGGCGATTGAATGAATTAGACGCGTGTTAAAGCTTGTTTTGACCTCCGTTCATGATCTGAATGATAAGAAAAGTCATATTCAACAGACTGGAAGGAGGAGGGTACTTGCTAGGTAGAACTAGATAAAATCCGGTTCATGAAAAAGAGTGAATGATTTATTTCACCATTTTAAAACACTTTTGAGCAGTACTATTGGCCACTTCGGGCAATTCTAGCCTCAATACGGGTCATTGAATGATCTAGATACATCTCGCCGCTTCTAGTGATCCTAAAGAGCGGCAGAGATAATTTTGTTGAGTAGTATCACAGCGAGATAGTAGTTTTAGATGGGTTCATCGACCAACCTGCTTTCTCTCATGATGTGAATAATTTCATTGATCATTTGGAAGTCTAATTAAGCTTTATTTCAGGCCACTAGATGGTTTCTAGGCAGCTCAGACTTGTAATAATAGGTCCTTTAATGGTTTAGTGGCGTTCCGGAGCTCAATTAGACCCCGGCAATGGAGTTTAGCGGCTAGGAATACACCCTTGTATACAGTGATGCCGTGATATTGGTCATTTGCTTGTTTAGACGCAAATCAACTGTTTCTTTGACCTCAACAATTGAATTCAACGGCAGGGAAGGTTCCGTAGAGTAGATTTGAAGCGGGGTCAATGGTTTAGCTTGCTGAGATTTCCAATCAAGACTTCTATTTAAGCTTCCCCATTGATCTGGAAACCTCTTCCTCTTTCTTCTTCCCTACATACTATTCCTCCCCCTTCAACCAGAACCTTCTCTTCCCTTTCAAGACCCCTCATACTACGAGATACTTCAACTAGAACGTATCTGTTGTGCCTGCCCTTGTGTTTCTTCAAGGAGTTACCTTCTTCCAACTATCCTTGTTACTAGAACTTCTTCTTTCTACCCTCTTCGTTCTTTCTAAGGTGTTCTCGATCTCGAAATCGACGTCTAATTACTCATAAAATTTGAGTCTTTCACAGTGAGTACTTTTTAGCCAACTACAAGGGCTTCCTTTGTCTTTTTACTAACTAATTTACTCTCTAGACGTGGAATTTCAGATCCAACGTCGTTGAACTACCTTCTTTCTCCCACAGTCAGTTTATCTTGGTCAAATAAGGCCATATCATTGAGTATTGAGTATTTGCTAACTATTGTGTTGTCCAGACCCTCGATTCTTCAACTTACATCCTACCTACCTCGAAACTCCTCTCGAAAACCCTCCTACAAACCTACAATGAATCCATATCAGAATCAAGGCTATGGAGGTCATCAGGGCTGGACTGGTGGTGCATGGAACCCTGCCCAGCATGGGTACAATCCAAATAACAACTGGCCACCACAACAACCTCAACAACCTCCGCAACCTCCGCAACAACTACCCCCACCTCCCCCTCAGTACAACATGCAGGTTTCACCTGCTCTTTTCTGCTGCGGGAACTGCCAGCGCGTTGGCGCCCCACCTCAACCGGGTGTGAATGCGTATACCACTCGTTTGGCATTTTTTGTGGCCCACGTCTTGCATCCTACGATAGCAACGTATACCCAGGTACCTAACCGTAACCTACATCCCAATCACTTTATCAGTGATGTACCACTATCTCAAGCAATTCCCTCTGTTGGAGGTAATGCTGATCATGGTCAAGGTACCAATGCCCAGCAAATTGCACAGCAAGTGGTTCAGCAGCAAGGTGGTCAGCAACAGCATGTTCCCATGCAACAAGCTCCAACCGGACCTGCTGCGGGTGTTGGTACTAATTATACTGCTGTTACTGGCAGCAATCATCAATATGGTTTCAATCAACAAGGAAATTACCAAGCTGGTGGTGGTTATGGTCAAAACAATGCTGCACAACAACATCCTCAACCAAATGGTCCACTTAGCAACACCTCTCAAGCTATCACTGGTCACATTATGTATTCTGGCTCATCTTATAGCATCAATCCAACCACCGCCATCCCTCTGCCACGCTTTCTTAGGCCTAACTTCCAGCTGAATGTCAAATTTCGCCTTGAACGCTTCCGTGTAGATCCTCCACAATATCCATCGTACAGAAACCCTTGCCAAAATACTGTCGTTTCTCCCTCCACCAATGGCCCTAAATCTAGGGACAATATGGAGCTCATATGGTATTATTGGCCAGTTCAACTCGAGGTTCCTCTCTGGGCTAGGGGTCAAAATACTCTGACTTCTGCACCAGTCATTGCCAACCAGCTCGTTCGGGAGGGCATGCAGATCATCAACGGAGAGCGTTGGGGCTTCATTCAGCACCAAGAGAATCCGGAGGGTTTATGGCATAAGAGACGTTCCTACAAGATTATCGAGTGTCCTGTTCACGGGATGTTCTGGAAGGTCACTGTTTTCGTTCGTCGTGGTTATTAGGCTGTTTTAGAAGGTATCAGGTCATTTTTAGGCCTTAAATCTTGATTTTTCAGGGTATGATGTCCGGATATTTACTCAGAGAATCCTTCCTGTCATTATTGGAAGGAAGCTTTGAAGCTTTTTCATGGACAATTTTCACCTGTGTTTCGGATTTCTAGCCAATTTTACGACTTTAAGCATGCATTCTACTACTTAACTTCACGGATGATACACTACTCTGGCTTTTACTACTGGTTTTACTTTCTGGCTTTCACTCCTCGGTGTCGATGATTTGGGTTTGCTGATTGCATACTCATCATTTGACTTTACTGCACGGTTTCTACTCCTAGATGTCATTTTATGGCTTCTACCTGATGGTTTTGCCTTGTGCATACCGCTTTCTCACGATTGGTTCGGAAAATTCTACTATTTTGGGCTTTCTAATTCATGGATGTTCTACTCCATTGATATTGCACTTCATCCTTCATCGACCCTTTGATTCATGGTCAACCCCTTCATCAATCATCGCCAATCGTGGCCTACCTACCCCTTCATTCATCTTGCGTTAACCGTCAAATATCCAACGTCCCCTTCTACATCAGCTACACCTCATCGCGTATGCATTGGTCAGTACTCATGCATCAACTTCATCTAGATAGATCATGGTCTACTATCTTGATCTTTTCGGCCGGTATTCCTCAAGTTTCTTGGTGCTGTCCATACATCACGCACCGCCATCTGGAATTCTTCGGTTTGAATCTCTTCGAAGCTGTTTTGATGTTTACACTTCGTCGACTGCCATCTCGATTTCCTTGGCTGGTAGTTGGTGCTTCATTACACTGGGATTTGGCTATGATGCACCATAATTCAGCATACTTCGGGTTGAGTGTCATTGATGATTTCATGGTGTTGGTGTTCTCAGCGACGGGTTTCGTTCTCTTTGGGGTGGGTGTGATACCTTGATTGCATGGGGATAGGGCTTTCTTCATAGCCATCTTGTCATCTTGTCATCTTTTGCTGAAACCACACCAATGCAGTCTTTATGGTCATACTATCGGATGCCTCTTTCATCAACTTTGGGCTGGATATTGTGCACTTTTTGGATCGTGGATGGATTTTATTCATGGTGCATTTCTTCTTCTCCGGATAGCACACCATCAATGCCCATTGCTGGCTGGGATTTCGCTCATATTCATCTACTTTTTGCTGGATGGTCATTCGTCAGTCTTCATTCTGGGATGTGACTCTATACACCATACAACTCTCCGTCTCTGGATGGTTCATCACTGCCACTCACTCGGCTTTGGTACACCTTTCACATCTATTTCGTCGTTGTTAGATGGCATTCATGGTTGTTTCCTGCACTCTGGTACAATTTCCATCCTCACCTTGCTGTCGCTGGATGGAACTGCTTCGTTTTACGCCTGAAATTGGTCTTTCTTACACATGTCTCTTCATCTCTGGCTTAAACGTTACTAATGTCCACCGGGGGTTGGTAATTCGATACTTTCTATCCATGATTTATCATCCATTAACACCCATCTCACTTCGGCGATGTTCACAAGAGATTCATACATTAGTCTGACACCTGTCATCTTTGATCTAACGTCCTACCACATCACCAATACTCCACTTTGACCCAGCTCTTCATGGTTACGATTCGAGTTTCTTACGAAGTTATGCGTTAAATTGACAGTTTCGTTTCAGACAATGGTCTGGTGTTGCACAAGATTTCTCATCCTTGACACACACAACAGAAATGTCAATTCCAATCTCTTTCAGACGTCTTGCATCAGGTGTTTCGTTCCAATACCAACAACGACGACGACGATTTCCGATTTTCTGAGACGTTTACCATGATAGTTCAGTGCAAGATTGCACATTCTACTCACTCTCTGCTTATCTTCTTACCCATTAGGGGCCTTTTTAATAATCGTCTTTCATTTTTCTACCTTCACAATTTCCTTATTTCCTTCATACTTGTGTTTTCAGGGCTGGATGGATGAATAATAATGAGGTTTTTGAACTAAACCACTATGCAGGTGTTTAAAATAACGATATTTGGCACTGGAACATGTCGGGAGGATTTCTTTGCGAAAATACTTTAGAGAATTTACTATTCCACCAATCTTTGAGTGTTTTGTGACATGGTGACATGGTGATATGGTTATTTGGTGATAATCCAGGGATGCGCTTGAACATACGAGATAAATAGATAGCTACACGGAAATTAACAAGTATTGTAAGTACTCTTCCCACAGCTCGATTATGGTGTTCTACTGAAACTAAATAGCAGCCAATGAACACCATGACACTCCACTTCCAGTCGACACAGCATCTTTATCTTGAAGAACAACTCTTCATTCATCCCTATGGATCACACCGCACCAAACCCATAACCTCTACAACTACGCGGTCATCAAGACTCTTATTTCTATCAGCACAGTTATGAACTTGTAGATTTGAGTTTTATACCACACCCATACAAGGACCAATACGATAAACCTCCGATAAACGTAGACTTTCAAACTCGGAGCTCCAAAAACTATTCGCCATGACTTGCTCTTCGCGAGACTCCGCCGTTGAGGAAAAACTGCTGATTCAACGCATCCAAGAAGAAGAATTGGTGCCTGGGACTTTTGAGAACATGCTCAGGAACCCAAATTTCCGGGTGGTGTTCTAGGGATCTTGGAATTTTGAAATTCAACGATTTTACTCCCTCTTCACCAGACTCCAGCGTTGAGTGATAACTGGGAAGTCAAAGTATGTGCAAGAAAGAAAATTAGAGTTAAAGGATTTCACAAATGTGTTTCAGCATCCGAATCTTCGTGTGGAGCTCCGAGGATCTTCGCATTCTGAAATTCACTCGTCTCGTAACATCGCGATGTATGTTTGCATGAGATTTCTCACTCAACTTCTAATGAGTCTTTCGAAACGGTACACTAGACTTGGGGGAGGGCGGAGATTCAATGTCTGTACGTGGTGCCCTCTACAAACCTATAGTTATTTTATTAAAATTTATGGAGTTAAGATTGAATTATTGATATTCTTAGTAATCCGTATATTACAACAATATTTATTTGAATTACAACCTTCCAAAAATCCTTTTCAACCTTTTGCTAATCTCTTTAATATTTTATGTAACACAAGACCAATCATCTGCGAATTGAGGAGTTATAATATATAATAAAAAGGAAGGAGTGTTGGAGAAGGAAAGGAAAGGATTCTTTTGAAGTGGAAAAAGAGAATTCTTTGAATTCTTCAAAAGTGTGATTTTATGGGGACGTTAGGGTAATAAATTAGGGCTTATTTATGGAAGATTCGAACTATTTGGAGCTCTTTTTTACTTAAGTTAACGTATATTCACCTTAAATGAAGTAGGAGGATTATATAGATAAAACTATGATTATATATAGTGAGTGATCAATAGCTACACACGACAAAGCTCGAAATGTTTTTTAAGATTTATGATAGAACTGCGACATTATGAGATTAAGAACCCAGGATTATTTATAAAAAGTTCTTTTTGTTCTATATAATTTTTTATTTTTTATTAATAGTATATTATTTTAAATCCTTAGTTTAACATGTTTTTATATCTTTAAATAGGTTTCCTAAATGTAAATAATTACTACTACTACTACTACTACTACTACTACTACACTAGACTTGGGACCTCAAACTCTACCTTGATTACATCTATAGTGATTAAAAAATCAGTCATTCGTATCCCTCGAAATTTAAATGCTATAACTTTGGGCTCCACGCCACCAAATACATGGATTTTGGTAGTAGTCTACTGAAATCTACTATGTTCTGTGGGAAAAGCAATAGTTAGACTTGGACTGCGCAAAAAATCTATACCTGCAGGTGACATGCAGATAGTCTGCTCCGCAGGTGCTCTGTAGAATGTCCTACCTGCGCTCCAACTTATCTGCAAGGCCTTCAGAACAATCTGCTCTGCAGGTCCCCATTACTAAACCTGGTTAGGCTAAAAGTAAGTTTCGCAAAGATGGCCGGTACTAGAGCCGGAGATCATGCCGGAGAAGAGTGGCTGCGATGACGACTAGCCGTTCGCGTTGGTTGAGTTGCTTGATGTCTTGTAAGAGAACGTGATTGGGCGATGACGTCACCAATGTGTAGTGCAGTGGAGGTTGAAGCGAGTCACAATTACCTATGCTCCAAGAGTTTCTATTCCGCTGAAGAGAACGAAATTCAATTCACTACTGAATTTCTATCTCAGATGTGATAACTCATATACATCGATGCTAAAAATTGAGCCGTTTATTTAATACCTCATTAATTCTGAGTCCAACATGCCGGTTAGACATCTCGAACGAAATAATCAGTCACATCTAACTCCTTCGAGTAGCCACACGATTCATCCGTCCCTATGATTTTAATGTCCAAACAGACTGGTCCAGAGTTTTGGCTCGCCTGGACTTCTTGTCCATGGTCAGTATATTCAACATCTTCGCTTCATTCCCCTTCCTCCTCCTTGAACCAAGAAATCTGTCCCGCCTGATCAAAATTTACATCTTTTTATGAAAGAAAATCTCTACCGTTCTTGAACATTTGTTTTGCTTTCTGTCTTGACTGAGAAACAAGGAAAAGACAGTTTATTGTTTGAAGGCTTTAAAATTTCATGAACCACTAATCCTCCCTCTCGTACCGCCTCCCTTCCACCTCAAGAGAAAGCACATGAAAAGGAAGAAAATTTCCATAGATCTCGAAGTCATACCTCGCCCCTCAATTTCCACACGCCTATGTACTTGGAAAGAAAAAGAAAAAGAACACGAAAGAAACAGTCATCCAAAACGCAATTTCAAGGCTCCATCCAGGGTCTCTTTGGGAGACCCTCTTATGTACCAGGTCCAGAAGTAGGCACAAACAATCAGAGTGGATTAGTTATTCACGATTTAGTTATATTGTTGAAATATGATTCTGATATTGGGAGTGGTCATTTAAAGGCTGGCATTGGGTTTAGTATCATCTTGTTTGAAGGACCCATGCTTAGTATA